TAGTTGTTAACAACTAATTCAAACTAACTTCCTAACTATTATCCTTGTCAAAAAAAAATATATTCATGCCCAACCTCTAATAAAAGAATTAAATTATATCATTTTCCAATGTACACAAATTATTGTACACAAAAATAATACTTATATCATTTTCCAATGTTAAAAAACATTATAAAAAAAATATTATATATATATATATATTTTATGTTCCATTACAAGTTCAAACACAAAAGATATTCTTTTAGACATGATAATATTATTAAATAGGCAACTTAATTAGAATTTTGGTTATAAGATATAGCTGCTTTTTGAACTTACTTTTTGAATTTCATTAGATATAAGCATGCAAATATCAAAATTGAAATTATATTTAACCTTAATGTTGAGAAATATTATATGTTTTATGGTATTTAAAAAATTTAGTGTTAGAGGAGGTTATCATATTCCACTAAGGTTAGGGCATATCACCAACATTAGTAGAGTCTTAAAAATTGATATACTCCTATTTATAAATTATCTATTTCATAAAAGAATATTATTGCTACGATTTTGTTTAGTTAATTTACCTGTTATGAAAATAATTGATAAATAATATTAGTTTGAAATTAACTTATAAATTAATATTTTTAAATATTTTAATTAATTATTTAAAAGACAAAAGAAAATTGTAAGCTGATAAAATTAACCAAACGAAACACACCCTAACTTTACCCTCAAAATACCAACAGGATAAGAAAAGGAAATATTCATTGAGAGATATTGGTCATTATGGAAAGAATAAGAACATTTTTTAAGTTGGCGTATTAAAGTGTCATATGCTAAGGCATATAACATTAATTCTGTTTACAACATACTTTCAATTCAGAATATAAACATGGGGTCCAAAACATGCAGTACACTAATTTTATGATATTTTTATTCTGCAAGTAGTATACTCAATTTATGATATTTTATGATATTTGTACAATTAAAACTATAAACATGTTGATTTGAGAGGAGAGAGGAGAGAAAAACTTATTATATCAATTAAATTATTTCATTAATCAATAAACTTAATTTGATTGGTCAAAACAAAGTTACCTCTAATCTCCTCCACTCTAATTCTTTTGTTTCCCTTGATCAAACAAGTTAAAAATCTAGTTTCAAAGTTGAAAAGCATTTGAATCTTGCCTTCAACACATCTAAACAAAGACAACCACTAGCGGAATAAAAATAGTGAAGAATATATGAGAAAAATTAATGTCCTTCTATGTATGTAGACCTCGATGCATCGTGTTAACTAAACATGGGTCAAGTGGGCCGATAGGAATTGATAAGGACCAGACTTGTGAATTAGAGTGAACTCCAGAATTCAAAGGCCCTTTCTAAACACAACTTGAGCCCACAATCCCATGCTTCTTGGACCACCTAGCCCACAATCCCATCTTCAATTGATTGAGTTGATATCCACTAAAATATTGAATGTTTAATTACTGAGAGATTCAAAGATACTTCTTCCTCATGAACTCTGTAAAAACTGTCTTGAATCTTGAATGCATTCTATTCAAATTTGATAATTGTTAGGAGATTAAATCATTGGTGAACCTAAGTCAAAGATCAAATTATAGTGTCTTCCACAAGTATTCCATACACCAAACAAAATTTTGGAGTATATTTACGTCCACTCAAAAACCCACTTGGACTGCTAGTGGAAACAAAATTTTGAAGCGCCAAAATGATTTTGCATGCCATAATACCAACAATAGTTTTTTAGATCATGGATTTGTGTCTAATCCTAATGATAATCTCAAATCCAACGCATTTTTGGAATTTTTTTGGGGGAATTTCGTAATTTAATTTCATGTATGAACAAGTATAAGACACTGAAGATATTCTGAGTTGATGAAAAAGAAAAAATGGTTCTCCATTTTGTACAAGAGGATCCTTGGTTTTGCTTTTGTGCAGTTTTTGTTCTTGGTGCCTTGATATTTCTTGGAAGTCAACTATGGAAGATGCTGCAGTTCCATGATGGGGATTCAGGGGCGGGTCATATTCCTCCGGGCAGCCGCGGATTGCCGTTGATTGGAGAGACTTTACACTTCATGGCTGCCATCAACAGTGGAAAAGGTTTCTATGATTTTGTTCGAATTCGAAGTCGCAGGTGAGGTATCATAACCAAGAAAGAACATTTTTTTTTTTAAAGAAATTTGAACTCCTGACCCTGACCCAGAATTAAATGAATGATTATTTGTTTTTACAGATATGGACATTGCTTCAAAACCAATATGTTTGGGGAGACTCATGTGTTTGTATCAAGTACTGAATCAGCCAAAGCGATCCTCAATAATGAATTGGGTAAATTCACAAAGAGGTATATAATGTCCATAGCACGGCTGGTGGGGGATCAAAGCCTGCTCTGTGCTTCTTACCAACATCACAAGTTCCTCCGCAGCCGTCTGCTCCATCTCTTCTCTGCAAGTTCTGTAGCTTTACTGGTCAAGCAGTTCGATAATCTGATCGTTAATACCCTTTCCGGATGGGAAGACGGTGGTACTGTGGTTATACTCAAGGAAGCTTCGAAGGTGTTTGATGTTTTGTCTTTGAGACTTCTTGAAAATCCCCAAAAAAAAAAAAGAAAAAAAAGTGACTTTATTTTCTTTCAATCCGTTTTGATGTGTAAAAGTTTCTGGGGATTGTGTTTGATGTAGGTGACCTTTAAAGCAATGTGCAGAATGTTGATGAGTCTAGAAAGGGAGACAGAATTGGAGATGCTGCTAGAAGATGTAGCTCAAGTTTGTGAAGCCATGCTTGCTTTTCCTCTGAGGTTGCCTTGGACTAGATTTCATATGGGCCTCCAGGTAATCAACTACAACTGCCATATACATGGGCTCTGACCCTTTGGGCTCATTGAATGAGCTTCATTGAGTAGTACTGAACTAGTTCTATTCAGGCTAGGAAAAGAATCATGAGCAGATTGGAGAAGATAATTAGTGAAAGAAGAAGCGGATTAAGAGATAGTCATGAAGATTTTCTGCAACACCTTTTAGCAGAGCATGATAATTCTGGTTCTGATGAAAACCGTAAGCTAACAGATGCAGAGATTCAAGATAATATTTTGACCATGATCATTGCAGGTGAAGAATAATAAAATCCTAAAAGTCATGTTAATTTACAATCTGGAATGTTGAATTGATCACAAATGATTTGATAAAGCAGGTCAGGATACAACAGCAAGTGCAATGACCTGGATGGTGAAGTACCTGGGTGAAAATGAAGAGGTCTTCGACACACTCAAGGTTAGTGTTATTAGTGTGAAAAGTGTTCATTTACATAATAAACATCCTTAAAGATTGATTTTCCTTTGGGGTAAGAACCAATTCTGTTTGATGGTTGGAGCAGGCTGAGCAAATTCACCTTGCAAAGAAAACTTCGAAAAAGCCATTTCTTACCGTTGAAGATCTTAGTGAGATGGACTATGCTTCTAAGGTAAAAATGATGCCATGAATTGGATTGTAGAGCTATCATAATAAAGTGATAGTAACAGATCATGTATAGGTAGTTAAAGAATCATTAAGAATGGCGTCTGTAGTACCATGGTTTCCACGGCTAGTTCTCCAGGATTGCCAGATTGAAGGATATAACATAAAGAAAGGATGGAATGTTAACATAGATGCAAGATCAATACAACTTGATCCAATGGTATACAATGACCCTAACAAGTTCAATCCAAGAAGGTTTGATGTGAGTCTCTGAAACTGCTCTTGGATTCTGTTTTCCAATAAGATTATGACAGAAATAAAGTTCTTTCTTCCTTGCACACAGGATGAATCAAGACCATGCATCTTTCTTGCTTTTGGAATGGGTGGAAGAGCATGCCTAGGCATGAACATGGCCAAAGCCATGATGCTAGTCTTTCTCCACCGTCTTGTGACAACTTACAAGTAAGTTTTTATTTTTATTTTTTCTTCATTCATTCATTCATTCATTAAGTAATTTCACTAATCATGCAATGAATTGTAACATTTTCCAGCTGGAAGGTAATGGACTCAGATTCAAGTGTTGAGAAATGGGCATTGTTTTCAAGACTAAGAAACGGTTGCCCTATACATGTGAAACGCATCACACCTTAGCCTAATTCTTGAAGATTCTTACTTAAATAAAGGAGTTGGTCGCTTTCAAGTAGAAAAAGGTTAGTAAAAGTAAGGGACGCTTGCGTAATGACTATAGGGTAGTGAAGATTAGGATTAGGCAAGGTGTGTCACCTAATTCTCTGCATCATTGTAAATACATAAAACGTTATGTATTGATTTCTTTTTCTTATGAAGATGGAAATTATTGTATTTTTGCATCTTCAGCTCTGTTTCTTTCCGGGTTGAGTACTCAAGGCAAGCTGGAATACTTTGTTTATACATCAATTCTGTTCAAGTTGAGAAAGCTTCATAAATATGTAAAGATGGAGAGAAACATAAGAACCCTAGTCAGTGCACAACCTGATTGAACCATTTTGACTCGAAGCCATTAAAATCTGGTTCAATCATGGGTCATGACACAGACTCTGGTCCATGTTTTCTAGCTTCACTGATTCTTGTTTTCAAGAAGAAATAAGAAAGGTCATGGCATGACTCATCCAGTGTTCGGTTTCAGTATTTTAAATTCTAATTGTGTATTGTTCATGCAAAATTGGACAGAGGGCGCCCCCAAATTTTAGGGCAAACGACAAAGATTACCAACATAGAGTCCTTGACTCTAGCGTTTTCACTGCTGTCTTCTATTTCTAGAATGGCTCAGGAGCTGACTTGCCTGTTAACATCAAGGGTCACGCCCTGAAAACTTTTCCATTTTACATTCTGCTGATACAAAGGATGCGTTCTGCAGTGTACGTCTCTTTACACAAGGACAAAATTGTGAGTTTCACAGACTATAGTGGAAGATACCTCCGACTTAGCTTTCCAAACTCCCCTACTATACACCTTTTTAAAGCCATTGTATTCCCAAACAGAACCAAAACATTGTGCTTGTGGGTGAGGCTTGAGAGACCCACCAGATTCCGTTGATTATAGGAGGTAGCTGGATAATGGTTCTTTCACTCACAATCACATTGTGTTTTCTTATTGGTACTTTTGCTTTTTAAAATGCCTATAATCTATATGCCCTTATTATTCGTTTGGCATCTGTACTTGTATCATCTCAAATTTTGCTCCATTTCTTTAATGCTAAGTAATTATTTCACCACTACTACTCCAATAGTTCAATGACAATGATAGTCCCCATTCAATAAAAATTTTCTTAATTTTAAGTTCAAATCGAATAATATATAAGCCAAGTAGTTAAATGGCATATATAGTCTCATGCTAAGACTCACCTAGCTAGAAGTCCTGCATTTAAGTGAAAATCAACCTTCTCAGCAGAAGGGTAACATGTGCTGCCTCCCAATTGCCAAAAAGGGTCCACCGGCTCGTGACCCCTTCATATATTAAAGAGTTCTTTTTCTTTGCTTCAATAAAGTACCTATTGCTTCTTCTTCTGCTTCTTTCTAATGTGCAATTAACAAAAATACAAAAGGAAGCTCTCCTACCAATTTATCATCTATTTCAGCAATTGGGTGTCTTAAAAAAATCTGTAGGGACAGACACTTGTTTCTTGATTAAAGTTTGTTGCAAATTCAGGTTGCAATAAGCATTAAACTTTGATCATGATGTTGACTTCAACAATCAAATATCTTATTGATTAGATTAATAATCTCTCTCTTTTTGTCACCGACTTTATTTGATCTAGTGCTCCTCTTAAATCCAACACTACCTTTCTCTTTCCTCGCAAATCACCAAATTAAACATTAAAAAAAAATGCTATTTTGAAGGACTTCATTCATCTTAAGCATGCTTGTTAGCCAAAAATTTAAGGAGAATATTTCATATAAATTTTTCTTTCATTCAAGAAGAAATGATTAGTACAAACCCACCTTAAAACCAGAATCATCCAAAAAAAAAAAAAAAAGAGTGTTCTTTAAGATTTTGGTCGGACAAAATAAGAAGATGAGAATACTAATATGTTTTGGAATTGGGTGTGACAAAGATATTATTCTTGGTCATTTATGACAGCTAGTGAGCAGAACAAGAAAGAAATGAAATGACAATTCTCCATGGGCAGAAAAGAAAGACAAGAATATTATTGCTCTCTAATATTAACACAACGATTGAATAATACTACAACAACTCCTGGTTTTGTTGGCATTCGATTACCTTCCACTTTTTTCACTTAATAATTGTGTTATTATTGCTCTCATCGTAAAAAGGGACAAAACAACTTGCTAGGATTGGACTTAGTAGGCGCAGGACCAGCCCTTGCTGTCACAAAAACAGGGTTCATCCCCTTTGTTCCTTTTTTAATCATAATCATAAAATAAGCCCACAAACAAGGCAACTATTTTATGTCATAAGTTTGTGTTAGAACACTATAAAGAAAGGCTTCGGAGGTTACTTAAACTAAAATAGTGCCACCAATTTGGCATGGAAATGAAAATACTGAATTATATTTTTGGTCCTACTTGTCTTCATTTCATGGCTGATTTGGCAGTGATAGGTTCATTTTACAGGATACAGAGAGGAGTAGGAATCTACCATTTTTCTTTTACTGGCAAATAAAATCGTGCTTAATTATTTCTAAACTGATATTAGAATTAAAATTTTGAAATTAGTGAATGTCAGCAACTCAGCTTGCCATACTTGTTATTCTTCTATGGGTCCTGATCAACTGTTCTATGAGATTGGCAAAATGGGTATTAAATTGTGGGAAGTGGAACTTAATAATGTTTTGGAGAGGGTGGAAAAGTGGGATACATTAATTGTACTGAGGTAGAGAAAACAAAAGAGGAAATAATTGAGATGTTTAAAATTGAATGGATACACCTGTGGTTGCAAGTGCAGGAAAGAGAAACTACAAAAAGAGGAGAAATGTTTAGTACTAACAAATAAAGAAAAAGTCCTTCTATCATCCTTTTTGTTTCAGAAGTTTCAGAAACAACTGGATAATAGCAGAGAGAGGGAGTACCCCACACCACAACACCAAAGTACTTCTTCACCAGCTACCACCGCCCAATTCCACCATTTTCCACCCCATTCCCTGCGTTCTTGGGACTTGCCGGCTTGGGACCCCCTTTTTAAAATTCAATAAATAAACACTACAGAATGAAAATCAATTTCCAGAGAAACTTTGCTTAGAAGCATAGGTATTTTTGTGTCTTAATGAAAACAGAGCCATACAACAAAAATTTTTAAATTCCTTACCATCCATGCTAAGATGGTAGCTTTTGTATTTAGAACACTTACTTATTCTCTCAAATGCCCAAAAAGAAGTAGCTAAAGTTGCTGGAATCCCCACTTAATGAATGTAATGATGATAATCACTATTATTAGGGGGAGGATTAGGACAAGCGTGCCTAAAGTAGAGCATAAGCTAATGAGATTGACTTTTCCTGTGGAAGATTACAATCTTTTGGATGTAAATTCATCAATCAAACATCCTCAATTATTTGTTAATTATGTATGAATGCCTGATTTTTAAGACTAATGCAATAGTATAATTA